AACATAGCTACGCTTGTTTTATCGGACAAATAAACATTCGCATTCCATCGGTGGAAACTCCGATCGACCCGATGCATCGTCCAGAATGCATTCCTTGACGAGAGAAGATGCCTCGCGAGTGGAGTTTCTCTTTGACGAGAGAATTTAATTAACCGAACCGGCGCACCGCGCTCACGCGAGGCATCATCACGAACCGATTTATTTTATTCGTGTTTATTCGGCCCGTAATAGTCCCGGTCGAAAAAAAAAGCGCGGCGATCGTGGCCGGAAAGAAAAAAAAAACAATTACTGTTTTCCGTTATCCAGCTCGGAATACAAGCACGAGTAAGAGGGAACGAAGGGGGGAGGGGGCGTCCCCCAAAAAGGACGATCGCGCGTTTGTATCACGTCGAGTTTCTTCATCGAAATATACCGGAGTCCCGTAGAGCTTCTCTCGCGGCCGATGACGTGGCTTTCGTAGTGCGGCGTGACCTCCATCGGTCTACTTTACGACGAAGCCCATGTCCTAGGCGAGCATCAAGGGGAAGAGAGAGAGAGGTGGCTTACCACGGTATACGATTTTATCTTCCGCGGCTCCATAATCACGTAGGCCTTTATTACGAATGAATTGATGGCGTTTACTTATGTTCCGCGTACACATCCTTTACGAGGAACTAAGAAACGAAATGAAGTCCCGAATACAGTATACCGGTGAAAACAGAGTCGCGCAAAGAGAAAGAAAAAAAAGATATGAATTATATTAAAATACACGGCAGGAAAATGTGATACGAAGAGGCGGTGGGACTCGCGAAGTAAGTTACAACGCAGTAGCCGGAGTAATCGTTATGAAGTAACGAGTTGGAAAGAGGGGGGGAATCCTAAAAATAATAACGGATTAAATTAAACGCGGTCGATTGATTTTCGTCTCGTATCATACCGTACCGCGATGTCAAACGTGACGTTTATTTTTATCGGGATGTAACTCGCACAAACACACATACATACACACACACACGCATGGCCTGTGTTTGGCATTGAATGCGCCGCTAAACGGAGAATACACGAGCCGCCCGCGGACTCTGCGTCGTACCAAGGATACTGGGAATATTAATACCCTCCTAGACGAAGGCATCTAGATTAGCCGACGGCGTTCTAATGAAATAAGAAGAAAAAGATTCCAGAATGTCCTTCATACTTGGTCGATTCGGTGAAGGGGGTAGGAGGAGAGAAGGCGCACTCTGACACGGGAGACGAGATGAGGAGAAAAAGAAATGCAGAGGCGGCAGAAACAACAGCGTGCGACGATGCCGAGCATCAGATTATGAAAATCAGAACGAACGTCGGTGTAGGTTAAAGGCTCGTTGCGCCGCGGCCGGGGCGTGTAACGATGTCAGTTTTATTAGCCTCATCAGGGGCACCGAGAGAGGGGCATCCTCCTCCGATCCGGGGGCGGGCACCACCATTACCTAATATCCAACGTGATCGCGTATCTCGTTACGCCGGCAATTTGCATCCATCGACGCGTCGTTGGGCGAGAAAGTTTTTTCGCGCGCGTGAGACGACGACACACCTGCGGCGGCGAGTGGTCTCTCTCTCGAAGAAGAAGAAAAAAATTCCCTTCCGCGGTGTATTTTTGGCGCGAACGGGAAGAAGGAAGAGTGGAAAAGCGCGATGAATTTCAACGGCGGTGATAATTTAAAGAGAGAGCCGATTATCGATTGTGGCGACCGTAACTTGACCGTATTAATTGTATACTGGAGATTCGAAAGAGCGCGCGAGAAATGTCAACAGTGATAAGTCAATAACTTTCCGAGGAAAGTCTCGACGTCATTGACTTATCATTGTTGACGTTTCTTGCACATTCGAGGAGTAGGTATCGAGTCAACGAGGATCGCTTCCGTGAGAAAAAGTCTCTACCCTCTCGCGTTCGGGATTGCGTAACATCCTGACCACGAATGCGGTCGCGGAGGTAATTATTATATTATGATTGTGGGAAATTTAATATTCTCCCCCCCCTCTCCCTCCTTCAAGCCCCCTCTTTTGATGTGGAACGTGGTACATTATCAATATTCATTTACACTCGCAATTTAACGAAGTGCCTGGGTATTTAATGTAATATAATGTAACGCGTAACGTGCACACACGCACGGCTTCGACGGGGAGATTCGTAGAGCGAAAATCAAACGGGTAAATCGGGGTCACTCGTTACATCGCAAATCATATTTCGCGGCGAAGGTGTAGTATTATGTACGCGAGAGTTCTCATACACGTTCGGCTCGAAAATCGGGTTACACCCTGGCTCGGCTACCTACGATTAATTACGTTGAAAGCATACTCGCATGTAATTGCACCGTGTAACGCATCTGTCATTCTAAACGAGTGCACTATCATGCGGTCGTAACGCGGTGTATATTTAATTGAAAAATAAATTCCGCTCTAGATAACGATGTAAACGTAACGCGACGCGAAAATTTCTAAATAATAATCCCGAGCGAGTGCACGGAGGCGGTGTTTATGATCGGGACGAGAAAGGAAAGGGAAATCGACGAGAGGCAAGGAACAGGTATCCGATTATATTATTAGCGGAAAAACGCTCGGTAGCGCAACATGATGTAACAGTCTCGCAGTTTAAAATCTCCGCAATTCCTATACGTCAATCACGAGTCACCGCCGCCGCCGCCGGAGAAACGAAATTATATACGGCGAGTTCCGTGAAAAAAAAAGAGACGAAGTGCTTAATCCGAACTACGAACGCGGGTAATATCGCGCGAAATAAAGTTCGCAGCGGCGCGTTTTTTGCCCTTCCCTCAGGCGAGGATCAACGACATCCCGCGTTCTCTTTTATTTTCTGTTTTTTTTTGCCATTATAAGGTAAATATCAGGACGTGACTCACGTGACATATCGCTAATGCGAGAACGTTTACCGAGTTTCGCCTTGAAAGAGTCATACGTTACTCAGCGCATCCGTTACATATAGGTAACATGCGTATAACGGACTGGAATACCGGCGTGCGTCACTATTGTATATACGATATATAAATTGGCTCTAATGCAATAATATTAGGAATTTCGCAATCGCCAATTGTTATCGCGGAAACTTCGCGGTGTATATTAATCCCGCGGCTGTGTATCACGACCTCTAGTCACGCGACGGGAAGCGTCCTCTTTCATGCAGTACAAGAGAGCGAGTCGGAAAAAAGGNGAGGGAACGCGAAGAGGGGGGCGACCGGTTATCCTTGGATATCGTTCCCGAAGGAGATTGGACTTGATTGATAAAATTGTATGTCGCGCGATGGGAAGTGTCGAAGAAAATTGATAAGATTAATCGA